AAGAATGCGTAACTACTATAAAATATTCCTATTGAAAACATAAACATATACTTATCTAGATTTATACGCGAAATTAGGAACTCTATAATCTATATTTTTTAGCAAATTTTTTAGTAATTTAATTTTTCTTGATCCAAAAATTCTTGTTGATTGGTTTTTATATTTAAAAAAAAATCATTTATTTGAACATCACGATTTATCAGTTATCAAAATTATAACCACACATTAAACTTTTTAAATATTGCGCAACAAAGCAAACGTTAATTTAATAAAAAGAATAACATTGCTTAGTAAAAGCTTACAGAAATAATCACAACATCGAAGTAATGAAATGCAAAAAAAACCTGTATCACAGAAATCGCCCTTAAACAAACTCAAAGATACGAGATAGTAAGGCGAATTTAGCTGCGCGTCGTTCTATACATCATGGTGCAAGTAAGAAAAAAAAAACGCATCGGAGACAATGCACCCACAGCAAAAACCTGCAGGATCGCATAATACATGACTACGATCCAATATATGTTGCCTACAGTATACCCAAGTTGGCGCGCTTAAGCCAACTTAAACTTAAGCCACACCCACTCCTATACGCCCACAACTTGGTCAACCATCTCTTTTCAACAACCATACTAGCATAAGGCTCTCTCGCACAGATGCACAACGCCTACGAGCCATCAGTTCCAAGTTTTTAGTCGCCGCAAAGACATCGTGCGCGGCCGTCGGTTGATACGACATCGGCGGAATAAACGTAGCGTCGGCAAAAAAGTGTCGATAAAAAGTGTACCGGATTTTTTTAGCGTTTGCTATGAGTGTCGGTGACGGTTTTTTTGGCAACGGTCCTCGATAACCTTATCAGTGGAGCTAATGACACGTAACAATATCGATATGTCCGTCTCGCTCGCACGATAACCTTTTTTATTATGAGTTTTTTTTAGTGATGTGTTTGTGCAGTGACTATATATGTTTTGTTCTGTGAAGGTAATTAACAATTATCGATAAGGCGAGTTTAGTTATAAAAAAACGGTAATAGAAAATTAATTAAAAAGCGTAGAGAAAACACAAATATTCAATTAAAAAGTTTTATTTAGATTTTTTTTAAAATATGGAATGATAAACTAACACATTTTTCTTTTCATTGATTAATTCAGACTTTAAAAGTGACGTATTTCGTCACTGGCACTTTAGAACGAAATGGATTTTTGCTAAGACAATTGAAAATCACAATTGGAGTTCTGAGGGATTAGACAAAATGCATTCGCTCCGAAGCGATTCTTTTTTTGTTTTATATCATATGCGGCCACCTGAAATCGCTGAAATAGTGAAATGACCGTTGCCCATAGACATACGCAATTGCATATGCGTTACCTACCTTTAATCGACGGAGGAGAGGATGCACAGAAAGAAAAAATATTTTCGCTTTCCATGCATCCTCTCAACCGGAAAGTCCACTTCCACTTCCCATCCATTCCTTATAAGAAAAAAGGTGGGAAGTGAAAGAGGACTAAATTTGGCCTCCGGGACGCACACTCATCAGACGAAACGCGGAATTGCTTCCACTTGACGCCTGTCTTCTGTGTGGTCGTGGTATTTCACCGGGCGAGCCGGGCCGATTCGTGCGAAGATGTTAAAGCGGGCTCTACCACTGTTAAAGTGCAAATACACACTTCTATAACGAACCTTAATAATGTATTGTCAGTTTTATAAATTTTTGAAGTTTCGTTATAGAATCGCTTCGGAGCGAATAAATTTTATCTAGTCTGCTATTCTGGATTATTTAATAGTAAAGACAACTAACCTCTAAAGTAAATAAAGATGAATATTTCATACATAAATAGCGAACAAATTACGTTTCTTGTATAAAATTATATGTATTTTCATAATAATATTTTTCTGTTGTACTCAATTTGTCGCGCGAGTTCTTTTAATGACAACCTACAAAACTCGTTTTATAGAACGCAGAATAAATAAGTGCAATTAAAAAAAAAACGAAAAACCAGAAAAGTATTTTTAAATTAAAAAAAAACACATGTAATTCAACTATAAAAAGAAAAAAAAAACTTTGTCTTGATGATTCTTTTGCCTCAACCATTTTGTCGAATAAAAAACATTAAATTAAAAAAAGTACACCCAGAAAGAAAATCATGTTTCTAATTTATTTACACAATTAGAAATCGCGAAATTTATGAAATTAATTTTATTTTAAAATTAAATTATTGTTTTAATTAATTAAAAAAATATTTAAAAAAATCTAACCTAACCTTCATTACGTAGTGATGGCAATAAAAAAATAAAAAAAAGATTAATGACAACTTGTTTTTCAGCCAGATTGTTTATTTATTTATTTACCTTATCTTTGAAACTAAATTTTATTTATAAAATAATTATTAGAATTGCTATTATTCTGACTAATAATATAACTATTGTTTTTTAAACGTCTAAAATGATTTTAAATTACAGCTTGCATTTTATTTATTTTAAACGCAATTTTTTACGGTCCTATTCTTTCTGCTTGATAGCGTTTAACTAAGAAAAAAAATCTGTTTGTTATCGATATTTGATTTAAATATTATGATTTAATAGTAATTTTTATTAATATTAAAAATGATAAGTTTAGATGTATAGATGTTTGTTAACGGGGAACTCAAAATGGCTAAGATGATCTGGATGAAATTAGATTACTGTCTGGAATACCGTAAAGACTTCTTACTAAGTTTTGGTTTTTCTCATTCCGTGCGTACGGAGTCGCGGGTAAATCTATCTATTATAAAACACAATGAAAACAAATGGTTTACTAGTATAAAGAAGTAAATAATAAATGTGCCGACGGTTAGAGTTGTCAATTCAAATCTCCTCTCTTAGGCAATTAGATTTTTTTTTTCATAAGGTGGCAAACGAGCGAGCGACCACCTGAAATCGCTGAAATAGCGAAGTGATCGTTGCCCATAGACATACGCAACTGCATATGCGTCGCCTACCTTTAATCGACAGAGGAGAATACACATAAAGAAAATATTTTCCCTTTCCATGCATCCTCTCATCCGGAAAGTCCACTTTCACTTCCCATTCTTTCCTTATAAGAAAAAGGGTGGGAAGGGAAAGAGGACTAAATTAGGCCTCTGGGACGCACACTTATCAGACGAAACGCGGAATTGCTTCCACTTGACGCCTGTCTTCTGTGTGGTCGTGGTATTTCACCGGGCGAGCCGGGCCGATTCGTGCGAAGATGTTAAAGCGGGCTCTACCACTGTTAAATAACACAAGAAAAATATTTGTAAAGCATATCCATACATACAACTATTTCTCCTATCCATAGTCTTGTGAAAAAAAATAGTTTTTATCCTATTGTAGACATATAGGCCTCTTCTTTACAGAAACTATTGACTCTTGTAACTTTTCATATAAATTTTCATAGCATTTATAATTTATCTTACTAATATATTAAATGCGAATGTTTGGATGGATGGATTGGATGTATGAATATCGCGGAAATTCGGTATAATAAAGTACACAGTCTGAAATAACAAATAGGCTACTAATGCTTTGATAATAATATTTTAATAACGCACGGATGGAGTCGCGGGCGATAGCTAGTTTATTATAATTAATTCTTAATAATAATTCGTTGCAATATTTTCGAGTATCACATTATTCATTTAATTATCAGATTTAAAATCCTTTGAATATTTCTCGAACGCTTAAAAGTTATGTTTACGAGGGTATGTTGTTAAGCAATTATACTTCTTTTTTTTTAATTAATGTCACGCGCGTGATGGAACACAGAATGGTTTTAATAATCGAGCCACGAATTTTTTTGTTTTTATGTTACCTGGTGTTAGTGGAGATTTGGTCGAAAGCTGGTACGCGCTAGCTTAGTAAGTGCCTATTCACTCTACTCGAATCCTCGAATAGCACAGATAATTGTAAATATTGAGAAGTGACTGCAAACTGGCATTGGTAATCTTACTATTATTATAAATGCGTTTCGGTCGACGGATGTTCGTTAGTAGTTTAAACATTGTTAATTCCTTTGGAGCGAATGGCGCGCTTTCGATACATAGCCAAGTGCCAGAATGATTAGTGAGGGGACATAAACGTCGACATTTTAGTAAGGCTAGTGTTGCGCCAGTACACTGGCAAAATGTCGGATTTTCTTCCTAACAGAAGGTATCCCTAAAACGGCTACATGTATGTCGATTAAATCTGGCATAGATGTTGAATATAGTCTGGAAGAACACGCACGCTACTGATTAAGTTTTTTTTTAATCCGCCCGAATGCAGTCGCGGGCGGCATCGAAGCAACGGTTGTATAGTTTTTTCCTAACGTAACTTAAGAATTACAGTCAAACCTGGCTAAGCGAAAGGCTACAATATTTTTCTCGCTTATGGTGGTCGTCCGTCGGCACGGAACAATGATTCTCACCTATAAAGGTTTCTCGTTTATCCTGCTTTAGAATATAAAATATGTCAATAAGTTTAATTATTTGTTAAAGATTAAATTTAGGCGTTGCAGCTTTTATTACGGCACAAATGTATTAAAGATAGAGACCAAAAAAACTAACCAAAATAAGGATTACACGGAATTAATCAATTAAAACAATTAGAGTTTTCACGGTTAATTTGAACCGATAAGCGCAGTTAATTCTGTTTGTTGTACGTATCCGTTGGTTAACTAATAATTGACAAACATTTTTAGGAAAAGATTTTACATTTCTTTATATCATTACAGTAGGACTCAGTTGGTATGCTACTGGCATAATGTAAACACTGACTGGTGCCAGTGACCTAAAATACCGCGCGGACGGAGTCGCGGGCGACAACTAGTAGAAAATAAAAAGTTACCTACCTTGAAGAAGGAAAACACAAATATGATTTATCTGGTCTTCGTATCTACAGATCCAAAGCTAAAATCTTTTACCGCTTACCTAAAATTTTTCCACGGCGAAATAAGAAGCAAACTTGAAATGAATATGTTTATGGGCAATATTATGGTATTTACTCACCTTGTGATGACGTCCTAATTCAGAGTCCTGGCACCATCGTTAATCCAATCCTCTTCAGAATCTGCAACAAAGAAAATTTATCAATTTGAAGTAATCCAAATTAAAATAATTTTTAACAAGAAAAAATAAATACATATCCTAAAAATAAATAAATTTTCATTTAATTTATATCTGGCAATATTCATATCACAACAGAAATATAATTTAAAATTACAGTACAGTAAGTACACATTTAAAGTTGCAAATCGTCAAAAAGAGACGTCACTAGATTGCGTCAATTTTCGCTACCTTCGCTTTCGCGCTCATTTTAAGATGGCTAGTTCCGAAATACATCGTTTCAAAAGTTAAAATAAATCGTTTGATTATGAGTTTCGACTGCAAAAGCACATGTTTTTTAACATAATCACCAAAGCAAATGGACTCGTATATAAGACGGCAGTAGAAGCCGACAGTAATATTGGCTTTAATTTACAATACTAAAAACAAATTAAGAACATTTTTAGTCATTTTACAAAACGTAGAGTTAAAATAAACAAAAGAACATCGACTAATGATTCCACAACTCGATGTTGGAATTTGAAAATTTAAAAATGGAACGTGTACTTTTTTTTTACAAAATAAAGGGTAAGCAAGTACTTCAGCCGCGTCTCTTCATGCGAGTCTTATAGGATAGAACAGTGAGACAGTGCAGTAGAACAATGCAATAGTGATATTGCTTTAACGAAATGTGAGCGTTAAAACAATTGCAATACTGCAGTATGTTACTGCTCTGCTACATTTTTATTCTTAAGTGAAAATAACGATACGGCCATTTTTTTTTTAGGAATTTTACCAAATAGTTCAAAAATTATACTTAAATAAAATAAAAAGGGAAAATTTGTAAAAGATCAATTTTTTGGTTCGCTCGTTAGTATTAATTTTATGTTAAATGTAATTTTTTTGTAAATACCTTTAGTATAATTTAACAAATCCAACAATATAAATCTTTTATTAAAACTACATATTGCATTTATCGTTAGGTTTTTTCAAATAATGAATTTCACATATTAAGAAATGATATTAACATTAATTAAAGATATTTATACAATTGTTAAAATATTAAAATAACATAGACTTACCATCGTTTACGAAAATAACGTTGATTTTATTTGATAATATTAACACTTCTTTGTCCAAATTATTACAAACACAAAACAATCTAATGAAGTTAGTAACGCACACTTTAATATATAATACATGAAAAGAACACTGTAAATAAGTGTATATAAAGCGCCATTTTGAAAATGTATCGGCGTCGACGCGGAGGCGCGGCCTAGACGAGTACGTTCAGAAATCGATAAATCTATTTTTAAAAGTTTGAATTAAGAAATAAAACCAACATAATATGTTTTAAATTGAAAACTATTAATTAAAACAAAAATTTAAACTACTAAATATATTTTTTTCCAACTTTTTAAAAAACAATTTTCTTTACATTGGTTAAAATTTTCAAATAGCAATTTATAATATTTAACACATTTTTTATATTTTTTAAACTAAAAAAACGATAGACTAATCAAATACTATTAAATTTTTTACTATAATTGAAGAAATAATCAATTATTTATCTTTGAAAATTATTTTGGTTTTAAAAATGTCTTAAGAATTCTCAAGTTTTAGAACGCAACACTTCCGGGGTTCACATATTGACGGAGATTACTAGACAATATCAAAATGTCGTATTTAAGCATTTGATTCGTAATTAATACTGTTATAAAATTATATTGTATAAAATGGACAACGACCATCTATTTTCATCTGTTTATAAGGTAAATATTTCATTTTTTCTTTTTAATTTTTGATAATGGCGTTACATATACGATTTTGGTTAAATGTCAAACTTTAAAGATTTTAATATCACTACTATGCCAGCAGTTTAACGAATAGAATAACATTATCAATAATATAATGAGATTAATTTAAATAGTATAGATTTTATATATAAATTTGAATTTGGAATTTTCTATTAGTTTTTGTGGGTACAAAAACCCTCGAGTCATTCTTTTAATTCCTGTTGGAAATAGACGATTGTTACTTTAGCGTAAGCGTAGGAGTTTTGACTGTTGTGTCTAGCTGCACGTTTCCACTGTAAACATACATACTAGAAAACATTTTATAAAAAAATCTTATTTTCTTTAAAAATTAAACAGTCATAATATTTTTTTCATGTTTTAATGTCGGGAATTTCGATTGAAGAAAACTTTAGTAAGAGATTTTCTTCTAGTTACCCAAAGTGTATAGATTTTAATTTTATTTGCTCTTGTTCTAATAAAGGTAATTAGCAGATTTTTCGTTATTTTTTAGAGTATACCTTTGTTTGGCATTTTAAATTAAATGTAACGATGTTCATGATTATTGTTTGAACATATAGTCGCAATGGAATGACTCCGTGACAGTGGCAGGATGGTGACGTCACTGCTGGCGTGATGATTCGTATGTGACGTCACCGCCAGTCCCTTTGCTATAGCAACACGTCGCCG